CAAGCACTACCACACAAGCCACCAAGGCTCTAGTGTGCTCAGCTGCCGGCCCAAGGCCGAGCCCCCTTCTATTTATAGCCTCACGGGCTAAACTAGCCGTTACCCCTTCACTAGGCAAAGCTCGGGATGACCGGACGCTCCGGTCATATCAACCGGACGTAGGACCTCAGCATCCGGTCAACGGATGCTCACCATGTGTCGCCGTTGTTCAAACACAGTCACTCGATCTCAATGGTCAAGTGATGACCAGACACAGCTGCTCAAAGTGACCGGATGCACCAACACCAGCGTCCGGTCGTTTCCAGTAAGGTTCCACTCGTGACCAGACGCGTCCGGTCGGTCACAATCGGACGCAGCACCAGCATCCGGTCCTTCTCCAACTTTTCTACGTCGCCTACGTCATCGTTTGTCAGCCTGACCGGACGCACCCTGCCAATGTCCGGTCACTTTTAGCGCCAGCGTCCGGTCGAAGATCGACGCCTGCGCGCTCTCTGTCGCCACTGACCGGACGCAGGACCCCAGCGTCCGGTCACCACGTGACCAGTGTCCAGTCCACTCTATGAGACCCTATCTTTTCTGTATAGGGCACCGGTGGCACCGTAGGACTGTCCGCACTCTACGGGTGGACACTCCGCCGGTGGAGTTTTGAACCTTTGCCTCCGTTCCTTCACCGAGTTGATCCACATCAACTCCAACTTCTTCTCCATTGCAAATATGCCAACACCACTAAGTGTACACCACCATGTGTATGTGTGTTATCATTTTCACAATCATTTTCCAAAGGATTAGCCACTCAACTTGCCACGTCACTCAATCCTAGCGACGATGCAAAGTTAGATCACTCGAGTGGCACTAGATGACTGATATGCAAACAAGTTTGCCCCTCATGATAGTACGACCATCTATCCTAAACTCGGTCATCAACTTCTCTACACACTTATGACCGGTGAAATGAAATACCCTAGGTTATACCTTTGCCTTGTGCATTCTATTTCATCTCCTCCAATGTCGATGCAACACATGCACCAACACGATCAATAATGATATGATCCACTTCATATCATCACGTGATCTTGTTGGTTCATTGATCTTGACCTTACATGCTTTTCACCATTGCCTTCATCCATCGGCGTCAAGTCTTGCTCAAGCTTCACCGCCACGCGGTCCATTGCTCCAAAGCCTCTAACTTGCCCTTCACGCTTGCAACCGGTCCATCAAGCCAAGTCATGTCTTGACCTTCTCCACCTTGATCACATGACTCAATGTCATGTCTCATTTGCAATGAGCTCCTTCATCATCACATGTGTGAGCTTTGCAACATCTCCAAGCCATTTTCACCTTCATGTGTATGTTGCTCGCACACATGTTCCTATGGACTAATCACCTATGTATCTTATATAAACACAATTAGTCCACCTAGGTTGTCACTCAATTACCAAAACCACACAAGGACCTTTCAGTCGCCCGACGCCGCGACGATGTGGAGCTCCGACTCCGATCACGACGAGCACGTGACACGGTGACCACCATCTCATCGCTCGCGCAGCAGCCGTCGACGCCGCTCACGCCACCTCAACGCCAGCGTGCGCGACGCTGCGCCCAACGCCTCCATGCCAAGAACAGCAGCGCAGGATAGGAGGAGGAGCCCGTGGAGGAGGAGGCCAAGGTAGAGGATGTCTGGCATGGGCTGCAGCAGCAGTGGGAACGGGAGGCGTGGCCGCTGTAGGCGTCAAGGCCCATGGTGGTCACCGGCGAGGAGGAGTCCTCGAATGCCGCTTTCGCCACGTTAGGGGATAGCAGCGGCGAGATGGGAAGGGCATGGAGCATGACCGATGATGACCTGGAGGAGCTCAAGGGCTGCGTGGATCTGAGCTCAAGGGCGGCGGAAGTGGTTCACGAGCTCGTGGAGAAAACGACGCTAAGAGGAGGTGAGAGGCACGGAGGTGAGGGAATCCCTCACTGCTTGGCTCCGTTGCGCCTGCTCGGCCAAGCCCGGGAGAAACGAAAATCATTTTCGTTCCCTAGGGCCAGGCCAAGGGGTGCTTTAGGGAGCGTGCGGGGCTAGCTTCCAAGCCCGTCCAAGCAATCAAACATCCCATATTGCACTCCTAGGGAGTAGTGGCCTAGTTGGGCCAGACAAACAAACACGCCCTAAGAATTTGTGGCATCCTGGTGGCGTGCGCAGCCGGCCGGCGTTCCACCAGGAGACACTGGCTTTGGCGAAGCCCAACGAGGGCGACGATAGCAACCGCCTGGGTGTCACCGCGGGGATAGCTCGTTCCTTCTTTGTGATTTGGTGATCCGTACGTACGTCTCGTGAGTATTTGGAGCGAGCTGGGACTGGGTCCCATGATGGGAGAGTTCAGCGTGCGCGCGGGAAGCTAATTTCTGGCGCACGGGGGGCAGCCACCGTGGTGAGCGATTCGGATGATGGCGAGTGTCGGGGACCAATATTAGGGTACCGAAAGAGGAGCTAATGACCGCCAATATTGATTCATCCGCGTGATCAAGAGAGCGACTACACCATTTGTCGGGTCACTTCTCGTTCGTCCACCGTGACCATGGGCCCTGCCACGTCTGACCCTTGAGGGTTGGCTCCGCCTCGGTGGGCGCTGTGGCCGCAGGCCCCATCTCGCCCGACCCCCGAGGGTTGACTCCACCTCAGGCTGACTCCCGAGGGCTGGCTTCACCTCGCCCGACGTCTGAGGGTAGACTCTGTCTCGCCTGACCCCCGAGGGCTGGCTTCGCCTCGCCCAACGTCTGAGGGCAGACTCCGTCTCGCCCGACCCCCGAGGGCTGGCTCCGCCTCGCCCGACGTTTGCACGCTGCTCCTTCATAACTACGCGCGCAGATAAGGCAGGGCACTCAAGTCAACCGCAATACCGAGGACCATATCCTGCACGCCTATAGGAAAGTACCATCAGGATAAGACAAGAAGGGCGCTTTGAGACCTTCCAGGCATGTCAGAGCCCGAACAGTGTTGTAGGCGCCGACATTTGTCAGTGTTGTGGGCGCCGCCATTTTCCCTCGGGCGCGGATATCGACGGAAGCTCACGACAACCACTACAGTCCAGGAGGAAACTCGCATCACCTAAAGTAACGAACGTGCGGTCACTGCGCTGTATGCTCCCTGTATTGCCGCGGCTCAGCACCCTGGTCCGTCGCGTCGCCCGCCGAGGCGGGATGGGACGTGACAACTTGCTGACAAATGCTAGGACATGACATCATCAACGGACAGACGCCTAGTGTGGGGCTATCCCTGGCACCGCCTGCCATGTCAACGGAGCCCGCACAGAGGAAAAGGAAGACCCGGCATCTTTGAAGGATCTTCTTTGCCTCTGGTTTTTCTTCTTTCTCCCATTCGTAATCCATGCTCCCCCTTGGCCTATAAAAGGGAAGGCAGTGAACCCCACTAAGGGGATCGATTCAACACACCACGTATCACATCACACATAGTTGAGCAGCGACCAATCTCTCTCACCCATTCGACCTTTCCATCAGAGACTTGGGACCTTTCCCTCTCTCGCCCGTTTGTAACCCCAACTAATCACTTTTTGGTGCTAATAACACGAGCAGCAGCCACGAACTGGACGTAGGGACATTCTGCTCGAACCAGTATAAACCTTATGTCTTTTTGGCACACCATCAGGGGCAGACGCGCAATAACACAAATTTACTCGTTGGTGTTTACTCAAAACACCGACAGCGAGCGGGGTTCGCTTGCTTTCTTTGCCTATCGAGATTTCAGGGATAGCCCACTTGCTGTTATAGAAAATCAAATATCATATATTGTTGGAGTTCAATTTTTGCTCTAAAAATCTAAATATAACATACACAAAATGGATACCACATCTGTTGGAGTTGCTCTAATTTTCTGCCCTGTTCCTTGGTATCGGTAAAACTACCTCAGGAGCCAAAAAAAAGGAGAGAAGATGGAGGGTGCAATATATATAATATTAAAATATTTTTCGTGACCAGTCAATGACACTTACTACGTAAGTATTATAAATTTTTATATTTCAGTTTAAAAAAATAAATAGTGATGTGGGATAATATTAGGATTTTTATGATAGTGTGAGTATATACCAAATGATGCGGACCCACCATGCCAGCCGCGTGGTCGAATCGCTGATGGTAACACCCCGCCAGACTGTAGAGATTTTTTTTCTTTCGCTAGATATCCCGAGATGCATCCGTGGTCCGCCGACGCGAAGCAGTGACGCGAGGGTCGCGTGGACGGGTAACGACTAGCGACTAGCGTCACGAGGTGTCTGTTACGGTGCGTGTTTGCTTACATCCTGTTGACATCAGTGCAAACGGGTTCCTAAATACTAACGGCCCTGCACTGGTTCCATAGGGTTCCACGAAATATGCGTCACAGCCTCAGAATTCAGAAATCAGTCCAGACCAAACGTTCAACCTTCATCACGGCCTGCTGGGCTTGTAGGTCAAAACAAATAGCAACTGTAGGCGAAGACAAAGCCTCACCACCGGGCCCTAAGACAATGCAGCTTTTCCATAAATAAAGAAGTAAAATCCGAGCCACCGCCTTAGCTTTCTTCTAGGTTTTGCTGGTGGTATTTTGGCTCTGTAAGAAAGAATAAGTCAAAATAAGCATAAGTCGGCAGAAAAATAGGCGAGCAGTGGTGTTGACGGGTGGTAGTACAGTTGCTTTTACACTATTTTTTTCTTTGTTCTATTGCAAATTTCATGTTACAGCTAGCAACTGTATGAACGCTGAAAGGATGACGGATGTACGTGCGCACAAAATCTTCAGTGTGGCAATAGAAACTCAATTATGGGCGGCGATGTTAATGTTCTACAGCAAAACAAACACATTTTGTTGGAAAGATTGAAATGTCACAAGAATTTCAATATTTTTCAACAAATTTTGGTTTGCCTACCTTCCCCATCCGCACTAGGCCACTAACCCACTACTACCACCTAAAAAAATCGCAATTCGCACCGCCGGCGATGTCGGTGCGGGCCTGCGCTTCGGTTCACCGTGGCGCCACCGACACGGAGAATTCGGTGGGCACTTGAAGCTTCTGCTGCCACACCCGAGACTCCAGATACACCTTGGACACCTTCCCCGCGACCCACGTCATGTCCGGCCGATCCTCCCTCGCTGCGCACCGGAGCGCCACCTCCACCAGCCTCTCCGCGGCCGACACTGGGAACGAGTCCCCCAGCCTCCTGTCCACCCAATTCCTCACGCCGCCTTCCACCGCCGCCGCAGCGGCCGTCTCGAGGACCGACACCCGCTGGAACTCCTTGGTGCCCCTGTCGAAGCGGTACCTCGCCGGCTCCTCCCCGGAGAGCAACTCCAGCAGCAGCACCCCGAAGGCGTATACGTCCGCCTCACGCGACGGCTCGCTCGTGCCCGGGGCCGCGTAGGGGGAGTCGCCGACCTCACGGGCGTCCGCGGGGGCCCCGAATTCGGCCGCGCCGAAGTGGGTGAGCCGAGCGCGGAGGCCCGGGTCGGACACGATCACGGCGGAGGCCGAGACGCGGCCGTGCACGGCGCCCGCGTGGTGGTGGACGTACTCGAGCCCCTGCGCGACGTCGGCGGCGACCTGGACGCGGGAGACCCAGGTGCGGAGGGCCGTGAAGCTCGGGTTGCGCGGGCTGCGGAGGCACGCCGCCAGCGTGGCGGCGCCCGGCGGGAGCTCGTAGGCGAGGTAGAGGTGGGCGCCCGCGGGACACGCGCCCAGCAGCCGCGCGAGGCTGGTGTGGTGGTACCTGCCGATCCTGGCTAGCGCGGCGGCGTCCACGGCCGCCGCGCCGGGGCGGCGCTGGAGCTGGAAAAGGGCCGCGTCACGGCCGCGGAGGGAGCAGCGCCAGTAGGCGGAGGAGGAGGAGGCACCCCCTGCGCGCTTGGCGAGGAAGCTGTTGGTAGCGGCGGCGAGCTCCTGGAACGGGTAGAGGACAGGTGGGTCCGGGAGCGCGGCGCGCGCCGCGGCGAGGGAGGTGCGGCCGGAGGACGCGGAGGAGCTGGAGGACGACGAGGTGGCGCCGCGCCGCTGCGCGCTGGCCGTGCCCGTGCCCGTGGCAGTGCCGGCGCCGGACGGGGACGGGCCTGCCCCCGAGTACGACGTGGAGGGGGAGGAAGAGGAGACCCCAGTCGCAGCGGGGCGGCGCTTGGCGGAGGCGGACGAGGAGGAGCGGCGGGAAGAAGGGGTGACCGCGGGCCGCGACGCCAACGCGTCGGAGCCGGCCCTGGGCTTGCACATCGCCGCCGGTGGCGACGGTGACCAGGTGCGGCTGCGAGTTGCCACCGCGCCGGGACAGAGCATACCCCGCGGAATCTCAATCTCAATCTCAATCCCAAAACGTGTGCACAGCTGGCAGGCTGCTAAGGATGTGGGTTAGCAACAAAACGCGACCCCGTCTACCTGCCTGGATTTGGATTTACAGGGGAAGCACGAGTGCTTTCGCAGTTCACACTTGTTGTGTACTAGCGTCATGTGCTTTGGTCTGTGGGAACCTGATGCCGTGGTACTGCTGCAACGGGTTGCTTCCTGCTCTCTACGGCCATCGTCTATGGACTACGGATAAAAACGGTACGGATATTTTTCGATCATATTCGAGACCGAATCCGTTTAGAGGGGTTTAGATCCATCCGTATCCGAGTCCGGATATTGAACATCCGATACCGTATCCGTATCTGAATACGCAAATCGTATATTTATGATATCGATATCCAATTGTATCATATCTAGTATGGTAGACACTATCCATATTCAAATCCGAATCCGGACAGAAATATGAAAACAAATGTAATATAAGCATGCACGGAGCCAGCGGTGGGGCTAGGGGGGCTCTAGCCCCCCTACCCATCCTGATCACGTGGAGTCCCATAAGCCCTCCCTTAAAATTTTATGCATATATGTATTAGGTAGGAGCTAAGGTTAAGAGAAGATAAAAAAGCTCCATTCTTTTGTTCAGCTTCCCCTAAATTTTTTTCTGGCTTCGTCCCTAAATATAAGTGATATCCGTCCGTATCCGATTCGTTTTCATCCCTACTAATGACCCATCATAGATCACACAGTTCACAGCCAGCCAAACATGACCAAGTATAAATTGAGGACAGATACCCTGCAATATAACCAGATTGTTCGTTTCGTCGTAAACGATCGTGGATTATTTACTGTTGGCTGGTTTAGTGTGAGAGAAAAATATTATTCAAGCTTATAATCCACGATCGTATACGATCGTATAAGCCCAGCCAAACAGGCTGAAAGTGAGTACATCACCTTGCCTATGCCTTGGCCTACGAGAACGGATGTGCGCTAGTCAACTCAGTCAAGATAAGCATCATGTTCGCTTGATCGTATCAGTCATGCTTATCCATCATGATACAGTGTTTTTTTCTCGCAACAAAACAGCATCCGCCGGTTTACGAGCCACGTGGACGGACGAAGATGGCTTTCTGGTGAAGTGGTGATCCGGCCTCCGGGTGCCTGTTGTCTTGTCCAACTAGCAGGAGTATCTCAAGCGTGCAATAAGCTAGGCACGCCTGCTGCCTGCTTGTTGTTCAAGTTGATTGGTGGCACAAATTTCAATCAGGAAACGCGCTTTACATTGCGGATCCGGCCAGCCAGTGACGACATTTGGTTTTTGAGATGCCGGTAAGGGACAGACACTCCATCGATCATACTGAGCCGACTCTACCCAGTGATCTGGTCAATATTTGCATGCTTATTTTGCCTTGCTTACTGCCAGTCGAACCGGCTGGTCGCGGGGACAGAACAAAGGACTCGAGCGGGCCTGCATGCGGTGCGGTACAGTCCAACGATGTATATCAGTATATCCCGGCTTCCAAGTCAGTTCTGAGGTCACTCGACTGAATTTACAACTTTAAACGACAAGGACTAAGCCCTCGTTGCCTGCTGCCGCCGCCGTTCTGTTGTTCTCCAGTTTATGAAGGAGCTTGCCAGATCATAGCAAAGCCCGGCCAGGCCGCTTGCGGCGCGGGCCCTTGGCGTGTCTCACGGCCGCCCTCACTTGCCTCCTGTGTTCCTCGACGCGATCCCATCTCTGCAGCGACGCGTACACGTTGGACAGACCGTACGCCGCGCCGTCGTGGAGGTCCAGCTTCGATATCCGCCGCGCCGCCCACTCGCTCAGCCTCACACCGCCTTCCTGCCCCTCCGCGACGTGGGCATCGAGCAGGAGGCTTCCGAGCACCTTGGCGTTGGGGCGGCCGGGCATCGTCTGCACGAGCCGCGCGGCCTCGTCGACGTGACCCGCGCGGCACAGGAGGTCCACCATGCAGCCGTAGTGCTCGGACTGGGGCGGTAGGCCGTACACCGGTAGCATCTGGGAGAAGAACTTCCTGGCCACCCGCACCAGGCCGGAGTGGCTGCACGCCGACAGGAGCGCCACGAACGTCACCCCGTCCGGCCTGACGCTGTTTCCGTTCGGTCTTCCCCTTCCCTGGACCATGTCGTGAAACGCAGCTATGGCGTCCTCGCCGCGGCCATTCATTCCGAGCCCTGAGATCACCGTGTTCCAACAAAAGAGGTTGGGGCTGCAGGGTATGGTGCGGAACACGTCGAGAGCGCAGTCCACGCTCCCGCTCTTGAAGTACATGTCCATGAGGGCGTTGCTCAGCACGGTGTCAATCCATATCCCCTTCTGCTGGATGAGGTGATGGATCTGCCGGCCCAGTGCCAAGTCCCCCACCTGCGCGCACGCGGCCACCACGGTAGCCATGGTGCCACTGGTGGGTCTCAACCTCTGCTCCCCCTCCTGCTGCGTGCGCATCAGAAGGTGGAACATCGCGATGGCAGAGGCTGGATCCCCTCCGCGCAAGTACCCGGCCATCATCGTGTTCCAGGTGATGACGTCCGGCAGCGAGGAGCCCATACGGTCGAACAGCTCTCGCGCTGCGTCCATCCGCCCGGCCTTGCAGTATCCATCGATCATCGCGTTCCACGACACGACGCTGCTGCTCATGGCGCGGAGGCTGGACTCGAAGACGTCCCTAGCCGAGGTGAGATCGCCGGCCCTGCAGTAGCACGTGACCATGGTGTTCCACGAGGCCGGCGTCCTGTCCAACATTCTGCCGAACAGCGCCCGGGCGTCCGTGACCCTCCCGGCGGCGCCAAGGGCGGCCAGCATGGCGTTGATGGCGACCACGTCCCTCCGCGGCATTTCGTCGAACAGCCTCTGGGCGCGAGCCACAAGGCCCCGCTTCGCGTAGCTGGTCAGCAAGGCGGTGCTAATGACCATGTCGGAGGCGAGGCCCAGCTTGCAGGCGAGTGAGTGTAGGGCTTGCGCTTCCCGACAGCCGGTGCACGCAGTGATCGCTCGGAGCAGGGCGGCCGCCGGCCGGGGCATGGGATTGTGAAAGCATCCGCATGACCGCATAGCCAGGCAGCCAGGCCAAGCGCCTGCGCCAGCGCCGGCGCCTACTGGCGTGAACGGTAAAACCAACTAAACTAACAGGCGACCACGTCCCTCCGCGGTATTTCGTCCAACACTTATCAGCCTGAGTTACATGGTATGGTATTTTCTCTCACAGTAAAACAATATTATCGGTTTATTAGCCCAACAGCTCCCGCTGGCCTTCTCTCTTTGCAACTCATTTTAGATTTCACACACGACATGTCTAGGATTTTTTTTTCATTTTTAACTAAAATCATATTTTAAAAATAACTCTACCTAATTTTTATCCTACGGAAATGATTTATTATGGGCGTGCACGCGTTACCCAAGACGCCTGTGTGCCTCCCGCACTCAGCCCCCTGCCCCGCACTTAGAAGCCCCCCCCCCTCTCTCTCTCTCACGATGGTGACCGGCGAGCTCCTCCCGCGCCCGCACCCCACCGCTTCCCCACGCCAGCCATGGTGGATCCGACAGCTGCGGCAGCGAATCCGCGCTAGGTAGGCCTCCTCCTCCTCTCTCTTCCTCCTAGATCTGATTTCTAGGGTTCTGGTTAGCTCTCCATATCATCTCTTCCAACTCCGATGGGCTAAAGAATGGTCGGCCGAAGGAAGGTAGGTAGGCCAAGCGGTGGGGATGGTCGATGGGCGGTTTAGGAGAGCTGGCGGCGGCAGTGGCGGTCGGGCCAGGTCGGGGTGGGGGGCTCGGGCATGGTGGCAGCGGGGGCAAGGGGGAAAAGGTGGTGCCGCGACAGGGCGGTGGTGGGGGCTAGGGCACCAAAGTCGGAAAAGAGAGAGCTGTTGTGTTTCCCTTTTTTTACTACAATCTGTTGTGGAGGAGGTAAGCGGGCAGAAAGCCCAGATCCTGCACGGTCACACTCTAGTAGCGCCCTATGTTCTAATAACTTTTTTTTTCCCCGCATCCGCGCCAGGTCGTGTGGCGTGGCAAAATCAATATGTCTAATCATGCATAGATTGTGTAGAAGCCAATGCATACTCTACGTGAAAGCTTATCATCATACTCCCTTTGTTAAGGTAACTCTATTTTACCACGTCACCCCGACATGTGTGACAAAAAGCTAGTCTTCTACCTTTAAAAAATCATATACTTAAAAAGTCTACGATTCTTCTAAGATTAAAGTGTAGTCTTATTCCACCTATCCGGATAGTATGGCAATATAGAGCTCTCACGAAATGGAAAGTGACACAACAAGTTTTCACATGGAATATGTGTCGATAGATCTCTCTCGTCGCATACCTTGCCACCCTAACACATACCACGCAAGCGTGATTTTGCCATATCATACTGACTGACACAGCCAAAAGAGTAAGAAATGAACAAAAATTGGGTGGGTTTATTTTTAAAAAATATGATTTAAGAAAAAGGTTAAAAATAAAAAGTCCATGTTCGATTTCTTATTGAACGTCGTTGAAGCGTGACATAGTTTCTTAGGGTATAATTTGATTCACCACCTTGATTATAGCTTGCCACAAATTGTAGGCTCACGATATGTCAAACTTTGCCATAATTGTACTTACATTTTGTTTGTCACACTCTATATGGCAAGCATAGTTTGCCTAAGGTTAGGTGAACGCAAGATTAGTACATCTCCAATAATACCTAGCGTTTCTCAAACAACCACCCCATTTTGGAATGAACCTATTTCTCTCTTAAACATGTCCAACTAGAATAAATTTACTCTCTGACTCGGTCCCCTTCCTATGCTATAGTAGTGGCAAGTTTATTTTGAGGCGACAAAGAGTTTGGGTTGACTAGGTGCTCCTGCTTGTGAGGCCTGTAGTCCTTTCCTGCCTTCGATGGCTATCTTGGCTTGCGGGGGGCAGTGGACCATGGTTCTTTGTTCATTTGCGAAGGATGGCGAACCATGTACTCATGTACGTCTTGGATGCACTCCTATGTGTTGGTTTTTGGCAGTTGTGTGCTTGTTAATTCAGTTTCGTAGAGCTATAAACCCATGTGAGGCTCACCTAAAACCTTGGATCAAATCGACATCGATCCAATGCCCTAGGTCAACATGGAGTGTGTCCCCCTGTTTGTGTACAAAATTGAGCTAAAACGTGAAGGGAAGGGTCGGCCAACCTGAAAGGATCTTTGGATGGTTTGATGGGGTGAATAGCCCCATTTAAAATTATATAAACTCACAAACACTAGGCAAAAGTGTTAGAAGAAAAGGTGACCCTAATAATTATACACCTAGCTACGATTTTGCAAGCCTAGGGTGAGAACAACCCACACACTAGTCTTACAGATGTAAAATATACTATGTGTCATCGATAAATGAGACGACACACGACATGTCTAGGATTTTTTTATTTTTAACTAAAATCATATTTTAAAAATAACTCTACCTAATTTTTATTCTACGGAAATGATTTATTATGGGCGTGCACGTGTTACCCTAGACGCCTGTATGCCTCCCTTTTCAGCTCCCCGCCTCAAGCACTCGAAGCCCCCTCTCCCGGCGATGGTGACCATGAGCTCTCCTCAGCGCCCAAGACCCCACCGCCTCCCAGCATGACCATGGTGGATCCGGCAGCTGCGGCAGCGAATCCACGCCAGGTAGGCCTCCTCCTCCTCCTCCTCTCTCCTCCTCCTAGATCTGATTTCTAGGGTTCTGGTTAGCTCTCCATATCATCTCTTCCAACTCCGATGGGATATAGAATGGTCGGCCGAGGGAAGGCAGGTAGGCCAAGCGGTGGGGATGGTCGATGGGCGGTTTAGGAGAGCTGGCGGCAGCAGTGGCGGTCGGGGTGGGGGGAGCTCCGGCCGGGAAAAAGGTGGTGCCGCGACAGGGCGGTGGGGGGGGCTAGGGCACCAAAGTCGGAGAAGAGAGAGTTGTCGTGTTTCTTTTTTTACTACAATCTGTTGTGGAGGAGGTAAGCGGGCGGAAAGCCCAGATCCTGCACGGTCACACTCTAGTAGCGCCCTTTGTTCTAATAACTTTTTTTTACCCCGCATCCGCGCCAGGTCGTGTGGCGTGGCAAAATCAATATGTCTAATCATGCATAGATTGTGTAGAAGCCAATGCATACTCTACGTGGAAGCTTATCATCGTACTCCCTTTGTTAAGGTAACTCTATTTTACCACGTCACCCTGACATGTGAGACAAAGCTAGTCTTCTACCTTTAAAAAATCATATACTTTTCACATCACACTATAAAAGAGCGAATCTTTCATTATCTCTCAGTATTAGCCGTTGGATCCGTCCTTCATCGCATCCGGGCCTTCCATCCAACAGGTAAGATGTAAGATTGTGTCCGAATCATCTTCCGTGGTTGAGTCTCCAACCTGTCTACGCTCCTTTTCCTATCTTGTGCACCTTCATAATACGACCCGTCCGTGTCCTAGCCGTTGTGTCCGTGTCCAAATCATCTTCCGTGGTTGAGTCTCCAACCTGTCTACGTTCCTTTTCCTATCTTGTGCACCTTCATAATACAATCCGTCTGTCCCTAGCCGTTGTGTCCGAAGTCATCTTCCGTGGTTGAGACTCCAACCTGCTCACGTTTATGTTTTTTTTCTTTCCTTTTCCTATCTTGTGCACCTTCGTAGCCCATTTTCTAAACATCGTCTGTGGTCAAGTCTCCAACATGTCTTATGTTTTTCTCTTTCCTTTTCCTATCTTGTGCACCTTCATAATACGATCCCCGACTAATACGACCTGTTACACTATATTTTTTCTATTTGGCTAGGCTTCTTACAATACATCTTGTGCACGTTTACTTCCTAGATGCATTGCCGCGAACTCCGTCTACCACACGAAGGAAATTCCGTGCTTTGCTCGGAGGCATTGCCGTGGTCGAACGGCCAAGGGCGGCGCAGACTCTGAGCATCGTAGATTTGGAGGAGCAGCTGCGCATATGAGAGGCATCAACTCTTTCCCTTCTTGCAATCACACTCCAAATTTGTGCAAAGCACCACCAGGTCCATGGATTTGTTAAAGGTTAGTCAAAACATGTAAAGTCTGATTTCACAAGTATTTTTGGTGGTGCGAAACAATCAACTTCTATGGATGTAAATCTAGGAACCATTGATCACAAGAAAGAGGAACAACGTGCACGGAATCGTGAGTACCAAATGACGATATCGAGAGAAAAAAAAGCCAAAGCATATAGTGAAAATACTGAGAGAACAAGATTGCAATATTCCGGCTAAAAAATGCAAACTTGATATGCAAGTTGGAGAGCAAAAATTTCGTCAAAACATGTAAAGTCCGATTTCACAAGTATTTTTGGTGGTGCGAAACAATCATCTTCTATGGATGTAAATCTAGGAACCATTGATCACAAGAAAGAGGAACAACGTGCACGGAATCGTGAGTACCAAACGATTTGTCGAGAGAGAAAAAGAGCCAAAGCATATAGTGAAAATACGAGAGAACAAGATTGCAATATTCCGGCTAAAAAATGCAAACTTGATATGCAAGTTGGAGAGCAAAAATTTCCTAATTTTTCGTAACTGCGCAGCTTCCGTCCGGATGAATCGTGATGAGAACAATTTCCTTAACATAGATGACAAGGTTAGTCGGACCCACGACCCTCTTTCTATCACTAAATACAAAATCACTTTTGTAATTGACATTTGTCTTAATTATGTAGCTCATGTCCATAGATGCAAATCAAAAGGAGTGCGGACAGATATTGAACAGTACGTTACTACTTTGGGGACCATTGACAAGAAGAAAGATGAACTACGCGCAAGAAATCGTGAGTACCAAATGACAATATCGAGAAAGAAGAAAAAACAAAGTATGTATTGGTGATCAAAATCTTGCCTCAGGCAACAATCCGATTACCAAAGAGAAAAACACGACAATCAAGTGTCATGCGGATCGGAAAAGCGTACCTTGGTAGGGTTGGGTGTGGAACAATCTTGCCAAAACTCTATCCCGTGGAGCATTGTGTAAATACTTGTGTTCCATTCAAGAAAACTGATA